ATTAGGATTTTTGTTTGTTTTTCCGTATATGTTTCTTCATATATATATATATATATATATATGTGTGTGTGTGTGTGTGTGTGTGTGTGTGTGTGTGTGTGTGTGTGAAGATGGAACAGAGCTTGGTACTTTAATTCAATTTAATTCAAATAATTATATTGAAGTTTTCGGCTCTTGTTTTGAAACATGAGAACTCTTATATAGTGATGGAACCATGTTTTTAAATAAATAATTATATATATATATATATTATCTATGTCCCAGTTTTTTGTAACATGAACAAATAACTCACCCACCTCCACCCTCTGACTCAGCGTAGATCTGACATTTAATTGGTTAATCAAGAGTTACCCACAAGTATATTTTTAACTTTGATCCTACGCGCCCCCCCCCCTTCAACTTTAGGAAAAGAGGTAGCGATTTGTTTTAAATTTTTTCGAAAAAATCATTTTATCACCAGTTACCAACCATCGTTTGAGGAAGTACAATAATCGTATTGAAATATGAAAACTTTTCTATAGCGTTTAAGAATGTTTTTTTTTTTATATATATAATTTCTTATAATAAAGATATAATATTTTGATCTACTTTTGTATTGAGCACTTTTTAACAGTAAATGCAACGAACTAGATTTTTTTACACCATTTGTTCTTTTTCCTCATTTTATATATATATATATATATATATATATATATATATATATATATATATATCACTTCAAGCGTTTTGAATATAAAATGTCAGATTAAAAATAAATCCATTAATTCTGTAGAAATATATATATATATATATATATATATATATATATATATATATATATATGTACATGAGTCATGAAATGAATACAAATGCTTAGGCTGTCGAGAATATATTTATAGACATGCGTCAGAGATGAAAATCTCGTGGCCGTAGATATCTAAATTCTGCAGAGTAAACACCCTTGTCTCTGCTTCTAAATGCATATGATTATTATTAAGCCTATTCATTCTGCATCCTCAAACAATGCCAAATACAATACATGGAATTATTTTTACGCGGGTTATGACCAGAAATTACTGCAGTTGATGGCATATAACATCCCCGCCCTCTCAACATTTAATATGGCAGTATTAACTAAAAGTGCTGTTTGTCTTCTGCTTCTGAGTCAACATTAGCATTTCAGATCGTGGCCATCGATTCCTCAGACCTAGCTGTAGACATTAAGGTATATCTCTGACTAATCTTCTGGATTCTTTGCTGAGACCCTGTTAAAAGTAGTCCAGTACTGACCCTCAGTATTTATTTTACGTTCTCATAAATGGTGAAATTCGACACGATTAACTGATTCCATAGAGGAAACATTCGGTATCAGCTGACCGAAAAGTTTTCATCACTTTCGGTTGAATTTTATAAAACATTTCTCTGAAAACAAAGTTTTCAAGAAAAAAAAATGCTTTCCAAAAACCGTTATCGCTGTTTCTCGTATTGAACCTTTTGTTTAAGGTTGTATGGAAAGTCAACATCAGGATTATTTAGTTATTTTCGCTTCTAATTAGATGTGCTATGCACTTTAGTTGTTGCTGCTGTTGAAAGTCTTCACGTGATGTGGTTTTTGTTATTTGATATTTGTCGTCCTGGGTATGACAATAAACTACATACGACATCAAGACCTCTGATCAGGAGGTTTTGAGGAACGGGGAACCACCACTTTTCTATTGTTCCGAGTTTCACCCTGACCCGGGGTGGTAGCACCTGTTAGGGTCCCAGATATGGGCAAATAATGAACCGCCACCAAACATTATAAAGATATATAAAAATACATTTTCATCGTAAAAATTACCGACAATACAATTTCATATAAAAAAAATTAGCAGTCGTATATTTTTAAATAAAAAGAATTTAAAAATTACCAAATCTCCCAGGAAAATTAAATTTCAGTCTTAAATGACCCATAAGGACTTGATATGCCGTTAAATAAACCAAACCAGATTAAATGTCCTTTGTTGGTAGTTCTATTGCGCAGGTCAACAAAATTTGTCTTCTTTAAGAACTAAAGCAGTGTTTTAAAAAATTGGGGGGTTCCCGCTCCATTAGGTACTAAAAGAATTAATCCTAACGCCACCCAAATGTATAGACACAATACTAACGCCCCACTAATTCCAAGTTATAGTCAAACTTTGATTTTCTTGATGCTAGTATCGCATGTCAAATGGGTATATTAATTACCATAATTTTTATATAAATGGGATACACTGTGAAGTGAAGGGCAAGATACACGCCAGGTACATTATTGCTGTGTGGCGTATGTTAGGGTTCAAATGTTCCTCCAACTCCGCTTACCCATATTTTTCTCACCGTCCTGTGGATCTTTCCTCCTCCACTAATCAAGAGGTACTGTCCACTGGCCTAAATCACTGACCTAAAGGATTCACTTGCTTCAGGCGATTTCGATCGCTGCCCTGAGAACAAGTTCTTTAGAATATATCAAAAACTAATTAATTTCCCTCTGACATTGTGATCGGATGTAATATCCTACAAAAGGAGGACATCTTTGCCCCTCACTGTTTTTCATTCAGTAATTCCTTTATCATCACAGCTAGTTAGAGAAGTATTCTGCGTTAACTTTTTAGCCCTTCATGAAAGAAACGCCCACAGGTATGCACTCTAACGCATTTAGCCCTCAGCTCAAGACACGTTTTTTTTGTTTTTTTTTTCACTAAAACTTCATCAAAGGTCCATGATCCACCCAATGTAGAGTGTTACTGAGGTTATTGTATGGGCGCAAGAGAAGGAACGAAATGCAGATTATGAGGATATATAGGATAAGATAGATAGTTTCACTCTAGACTTGATGGATTAAGATTTTAGTAATCGGGGAAGCATCCTCTCGGGAGTCGGTTCCACAAAGTAGCTGTTCTCGGGAAGAACTTCTATGAATTAAATTTCCTATCAATGGAATACGAAGTTGAATGCAGATGATTCAACCTTGTTTATATGCCATGGCCAAACCTAGCCGTAAATTAACTGGTTAAGAAACGTAACTTGCAAGAGGAAGTTTCGTCTCGGGAAAAGGGCTGTAAGTTTGAAAATAGTTCATCACCCACAAGGCTGCGTAAACTCTTCTGACAAGGCTGGAAAATGAGGATTAACCACTTCAGCTCAGATATGACAGCAATACACCATATTTTTTTTTGTTTGATCTTGACTATTGTCCTCATCTATGTTGCCATATTTATCACAACGTTTCGGCCGTTGTACACTCCGGCCTTCTTCAGGTGGTTGGAATGTCGAACTGAGCCCTTTATTTCGATCACTGGGGTAGACTGTTCTAGTTCCACGTGCCATGTCTAATGGATGTCAGTTATCAGTTATCACCTGTTAATTCCCCTCTCCAAGTCCTTCACTCTCTTAACCAAGTATTGAACTCATACTCTTTGGGCCTTGTCACTGGATCTAACTAACGCCTTTATCCACTGTTCCATGTGTCCTTGAGAAGAAGTCTCAAGCGTACAACGGCCAAACGTTGTGATAAATACGGCAACAAAGATGAGGACAATAGTCCGAATAATGTAAATAGTGTACATAGCACCTCATTCAGAAATATAGACAGATGATGAGAATTTGTGGCTAATCTAGTCTTTTTGTTTTTAGGTGCCGTGTCCTTTCAGGACGAAGGATATCATGGCTCTCCGCTTCCCTCTATCCATTGCAGCTATCAAAAAGTTCCGTCCTTCTGCCACCTTTCCTAGACCACGTTCTGTCATCCACTTGCTTAAGCCCGCTAGGTATGTCATGCGTTGTTTTCCATTATCTCACTTTCCCTCTATTCGACCCGTGACTATCAGATTCTCCAGGCCATCCTTCCTCATTGTGTATCCGAAAAACTTCAGCTACCTCGTCCTGATGTTAAGTATAAGCTTCCTCCTTGTTTACATCCTTCCCAAAACCTCATCGTTGCTCACATATTCGGACCATGATATCCTTATCATCCTTCTGTGGAACCATACCTTCGTTGCCACGAGTCTCTTCATCTTTGAGGAGACCGTCCAACATTCGCTGCCGTAACGGAGGACAGATCACTGGTCTCATCTGTACAACTGCCATGAAAGTATTTATAGAAGAGCAATTTTACGGCGGGGGTGGGGAGAGTAACTGAAACCAAGTAAAATCCTTAATCCATTAATCTCTTTCCTAATCACATCTGGAATAATGGATAGCGGCTCGGATTGAGGAATCGGAGATTCGAGTTCGAATGCCAGTCACTTCACTTACGTGCTAATACCGTTGGGAAAAGTGTAAATGCTAGTCTTCTAAAATCTATGGCTAAATAGCAGGACAGATCGGGTTCTACAGCTTTAAATGGCAACTGGTCTACCGCAGAAAGAAATTGCGACCTACTGCGGGAAAAAAAATCTCCCTCAAAAGATACATGATCGCCTAAGCGTGTATGACGCATTGCACATATCTGATTGAATTGCAACCATTGACTCCTTATTTGCCGTTGTTGGTTTAATCTTTACGCTCTTAAAATAATATTGCTATTAAATTTGAAATAGTTAAACGCTAAAAACGAATACGTCAACGTGGTATTATAATGTGTATATATCATGTATATGTGTTGTGAATCGACATTCCGCCTTCATTTTATCAATACCTGCAAGTTCTACGTGAGAGAATGTTTTGGGCTGGGGTTGTATATGTTTCTGCCTGTGTCTAGATTCAATAACAGAGTAGCTTCCATTTCCACGGCGACCAAACAAAGAATCCATAAGAACTCGAGATGAAGATATCAGCTCTGGCGCCTTTCGAACGAATGAACCAATGAAAATCAAACACAATTGCATGCAAATCCTTCTCTTTTGTTCCCCCCACTCTATAATTCATTGTCTCTCCCTGTTACTCTCTTCAAACACACCCGTACACACACATATATAATTTATAGAGAAAGAGAGAGATATACATGTATGTATGATCTGTTTTTCAGCCACACCCATTAGCTTTATTCTATACTAAGATTTCCTATGTCTCAAATAGTGTTTGACGTTTCTTTCTATGTTTGGTCATTTGTCCAGGCTTTTTACTCCTTTTTTTTTCAAAGATTCGCATATACGTTTCTTTATTTATGTATTTATTTTATTTTCTTTATTTATTCAATTATTTTTTATCCTCGGGTGTTTATTCTTTCTTTTTTTCATTGATAAGTTGTTCGTTTGGGGTTTTTTTTGTCCAGGTTATTTCTTTCTTTCTTTTTTTCTTCTGTCGGTCAATTACTGTTTATTTCTTTTGCTTTTATACCCAGGTTCTTTCCTTCTTTTCCCACTGCTTTATTTCTTTTTTGTTTGTTCATTTGTGCAGTCGTTTGTTCAGGTTCTTTCATTTTTCTTCTTTCCGTTCTTTTTTTACTTTCTTTGGTCGTGATACCAGGTTTTTTTTTTCGTTCTTTTCTCAATCATTTATTCTTTCTTTCTTTCTTTCTTTCTTTCTTTCTTTCTTTCTTTCTTTCTTTCTTTTTTTCTTTTCTTTTCAACTTATTTAGTCGTTTGTTCGGGCGCTTTCATTTCTCATCGTTTTTTTTTTTTGTTTTTTCTTTCTTTCTTTAACTTTTCCTTCACTGTTTGTCTCACTCATTTATTCTTTCCCGTGTTTTTGTTTGTTTATGTATTTCTTTTTCCTATTCTTTCTTTCTTTTCTTTTTCTTGGATATTTATCCTTTCTATGTTTCTTTCTTTAGTCTTGTTTTATTTCTTTCTTTCTTCCTGTTTTTCTTCTTTTTTTCTTCCGTCACTTGTCCAGTTTCTTTCTTTCTTTCTTTTCTTCCGTCATCTGTCCAGGTTCTTTTTTCTTTCTTTTCTTCCGTCATTTGTCCAGGTTCTTTCTTTCTTTTCTTCCGTCATTTGTCCAGGTTCTTTCTTTCTTTCTTTCTTTCTTTCTTTCTTTCTTTCTTTCTTTCTTTCTTCCGTCATTTGTCCAGGTTCTTTCTTTCTTTCTTTCTTTCTTTCTTTCTTTCTTTCTTTCTTTCTTTCTTTCTTTCTTTCCACGGCATTGATCTTGTTTCTTAACTGTCTCTCCCGTTGGCTTTTATGCAACCCGTTTCTCCGATCGAACAAACCAATGAAAAGCTAGAACAATTACAGGTGAGCTATTCTTTTTGTATCCACCCTATCTTATCCTCTCTCTTTATCTTTCCCTCTCTCTCAAACACACAGAGACACACTCTCTCTCCATATATATATATATATATATATATATATATATATATATATATAGTCTTTGTTTTATCCCTTCCAGTCTCTCAAGCCCAACGAGAAAGTTTGTTTGTGAGATTTACCGCCACTGCCACTTCAATCAATCGTCAAAACGAAAAACATCAACAACGTCCCACCAGTATTCAACAAATAAATACTCACTTTTTTGTATTCTTTTGAATCTATTTTTCTTTCCACTATTTTTTTTTTTTTTTTTTTGCATAAGAATTATGCGTCTTTGTAATCGCCATTTTTCTTCCTGCTCTCCCGCTTCGATTTTGTTCTGCGTACAATTCACAGGTACTTCCGATTGCTGCAGGCAAACAAGGTCGACCCCTTGACGCGTCCATGTTGAAATTCAAAGAACAGGCTTTTTTTTTTCCACTGGGAGGAGGAGGAGGAGGAGGGGGAGGAAAGGAAGCGAACGAAAGAAAAAAACAAACAAAAGAAGATAAAGAAAGAGCGGGGGAGGGGGGAATGAAGAGAAGGGGAAGGAGAAAGAATTCAGAAAGAGGAAATTGTACATCAGTAGGAAGCTATTGATTGGTCGAAAATTGGACAAACTAAGTTTGCACAGAATAATTGTGCAAAAAGCGAAAAGAAAGAAAGCGAACCGTCTAACGGAATTGCAGAAAATATACATAGCTCTAGACTTACATTCCATCATATTTATATTTATATATATATATATGTGTGTGTGTGTGTATGTGTGTGTGTGTGTGTGATTCTCCATTATTTACCGACACAAGCCTTGCTTATTTTTCTTTGTTTTCTGTGAAGTCGTCTTGTCTTCTTCTAAGATACATTCTTTCTACATTCATTTTTCAAGTTCTTTCTTTCCTTACTTTATCTTTCTTTCTTTCTTTCTTTCTTTCTTTTCAGCTTTCTTTCTTTATTCCTTCTTTCGGTTCTTCTGTCTTTCTTTCTTTCTTTCCATCGTTCTTTCTTTTCTTTTCTTCTTTCTTTCTTTCTTTCGTTCTTTCTTTCTTTCTTTTTTTAGATACAACAGTTGTAGTTGTTTCTTACACCTTTTATTCTGATTCTCTTTCTTTAATCATAGCTTCAGGTATTTCCTTCATTTTTACTTCATCAGGTCATTTCTTTCTTTCTTTCTTTCTTTCTTTCCTTCTTTCTTTATTTCTTTCTTTCTGATTGATTTGTTTATGTTCCTCCTTCCTTTCCTTGTCTTTATTTATTTAATTTTTTCTTTCTTTCTTTCTTTCTTTCTTTCTTTCTTTCTTTCTTTCTTTCCATCGTTCTTTCTTTTCTTTTCTTCTTTCTTTCTTTCGTTCTTTCTTTCTTTCTTTTTTTAGATACAACAGTTGTAGTTGTTTCTTACACCTTTTATTCTGATTCTCTTTCTTTAATCATAGCTTCAGGTATTTCCTTCATTTTTACTTCATCAGGTCATTTCTTTCTTTCTTTCTTTCTTTCCTTCTTTCTTTATTTCTTTCTTTCTGATTGATTTGTTTATGTTCCTCTTTCCTTTCCTTGTCTTTATTTATTTAATTTTTTTTCTTTCTTTCTTTCTTTCTTTCTTTCTTTCTTTCCTTCTTTCTTTATTTCTTTCTTTCTGATTGATTTGTTTATGTTCCTCTTTCCTTTCCTTGTCTTTATTTATTTAATTTTTTCTTTCTTTCTTTCTTTCTTTCTTTCTTTCTTTCTTTCTTAATGCTTTGTCTACGCCCATCCTTCCTTCCTTTCTGTCTGTATTTATTTCACTTTTTATTTACATATTTCCTTCCTTCCTTCCTTCCTTCCCCTCCCTCCATTTCTTACTTTCTTCTTTTTTCCTTTCTTGCTTTCTTCTTTTTTCCTTTCTTGCTTTCTTCCTCTCTTCCTCACTCCCTTCCTTCTCCCCTCCCTTCCTCCCCCCTCCCTCCATTTCTTCCTTCCTTCCTTCTTCCTTCCTTCCTTCCTTCCTTCCTTCCTTCCTTCGCTGTTAGTCCAATTATTTATTTATTTACTTCAATGTTTGATGAACTTCTTTCTCTCGTCCCCATACGTGTGGTTGTGATCTTCTGCAACGTGTTTATTCAAATTTGGTACAAAGCCATGCACTAACAAGAACTGAATTGGAAGACTGGCGTGCCAACCCGTGATTACATGTGATGATACTAACAATGGCCTACGAGATTAGCTTTCTAACCATTGGTACCCGACTGACACCCAGAAATAGAATAAAATTGACAATTTTACAGTATTTACATTAGATTAAAAATAGTTAGGTTCAGATTTTTCATCGGAAGACAAAAAGCACATATCACGATTCATTAATTCCTGTAAACAGAAACATTTTTTTTCAACTTAAGATAACATATGTTTTACATAGATAAATTTTTTTGTAAGGTATGAGCTGTAATTGTAAGAATGAGTTTCAATGTGTCTATCGTAACCTTTTCCAACCAATCCGACCACAACTGCATTTATTGACGTCCTCATGTGACACATTTTTGAGATTTCCACATGAAGACCCTTGTATTTTGATAGCATTTTTTTAATCTAAAAAGATAAATTACAATCAGCAGGGACTGCAATGTCAAAAAGAAAATATTTTTTTTTTGCAGTATTTAATCACCATGTCTGAGCGATTTGCTTTAATTGTTTCCTATGTGTGTATTTTAAAGTCCCATGAAACTGTTGCAGGTCCAATCTCTGTAACATGGCCTTGCTGTTTTCTTTTCTGTAGAAGTTGCAGGTTTTCCAATGCAGATATTGGCCTACTCTGTCATACCGAGTCTTATAGTTGATAGATATTAATACTGTGCAACCTGATGGTCAATTGCATATAGATATTCCTCTGCATTTCGGGTTAACATAATTTTTTCAATATGTGTGCTTGGTAATTTCTAATTAGCAGCTATTGGTCCTATGCAGCAAGAATAAAACCTTCGGTTTCAGCCTTTACCACTGCACTACGTACCCACTGATGAGTACGGGGTTTGTCTACATCAACTTGTTTGGTACGGGCTGAGTATTGACCATGGAAAAAGCTTGTCTTACTAGCGTTTCTGCATTTGGATCAGTGGATTTGGTTTTGCTTTCTTTTTAAGCTCTTTTCCGCTGCAGTAGGTGTGTTATTGTTTATTAGCACTTCTTCACCTGCTTGAAATTCACTTTTGAATTTTTGGGCTTCCTTTATTACTGAAAAAAGTTTCTTATTTCTTTTATGTTCTCTGACACAGATAATCACCCGATCTTCTGTAGTTTTCACATATTTTTGAAGACCGATTGTTGTGAGTTGTAAGACATTTCTAGTTGAACTAATCCTCTTCCTCCTCCGGATCTGGGAACATACAGACGATCAACCTCAGCCCTAGGAGGATGCATGCAGTGACAAGTGAGAAACTTTCTCTTTTTGACATCCATTCGCTTAATGTCAGCTGTGGTCCAATTAAGGATGTTATTATTATTATTATTATTATTATTATTATTATCATCATCATTATCACCATTATTATTATTATTATTATTACCAGGTATTATAGAAATTGATAGCCACCTCTGGACTTGGCATCATCTAACGCAGATCTAAAAACCTTTTTATTTATTCTATTCTATATTCGTTCGTAAATATTCTTTATTTATTTCCTCCACTGTGCATTCTTTGTTGTTTCATTGAAGCTTTCTTTAGTTATTTGTCCAGATTTATTGTATTATGATTCTTTATTCTTTCTACAGCAGTTATCTTTTATCTTACCAGCCTCGTATTCCAATGATATTTTTATCGCGCGTTTCTCGGATCAATGAAAACTTAATAAAGAAAACGTGCAGGGTTCGATCTTGTATCGCCGTTTCCAGGAGTAACCGCCGTTTCTTTAGATCACTCAGTCAGGAGGAGAGGTTACACAATGGTCGAATTACCCTCATAAATAACGCACATCCTCACGTTCAGAACTTTTGGAAAGCCCATAGCTTCTCGTTTAGATATCAGAAACGCAAATAAAGCAATATCTAAAGGATTAACGAATGCCATTTGCGTTAGTTTATAGGAATGTAATGTACGCCAGATGAAACAGTGATTTCTCCTAAAAGCGAGTACATACGTTCGAACCCTGCCAGAGAGGAATGCTTTATTTTGTTTTCTCGAATGTGTAGACCAATAGACATAATAGACACTATTTTTAAAATATGCTGATCTCTTCATATTTTTCTCTTTAGTGTGTCTACTACAATACCGTTTAAAAATCACGAGATATATATATATATATATATATATATATATATATATATATATATATATATATATATAGTCTTTCTTTTAAATATATTCGGTTAAATGTAATGGACAAAGAAAATTTTACTAATTTCTTGTTTAGCTTTTCCAACGTTCCTACATTTTTCCTTTTGATGTATGGGAGACATTAAAAGAATGTTTATACCGTCCATTGTCGAAAACGTTTTCGGCCATTTCCTTAGCCAATTTAAAGGAGGGTTTGTTTTGGTATTTTTAATTTTTCTTCCTGTCTTGGGCTGTTTGACATGTATTTTTTGCGTTGTTTTGAATACTACTTGGAGTGATTATTCCGAGTCTTCGTGTGTTGAGCGTGGCTGGCATTCGAGTGAGCGTCGTTCTATTTGTTAAGAAATTTTCAGCACTCCACTCATATATATATATATATATATATATATATATAGTTCCATTAAAAACGTAAAATCCAACACTCAATAATATCAACTATGAACACAGCCACAATGTGCTGGCCGTGTTTGAAAAATTAGATACATACATACAAAAACTCATACATTAAGTTAAAGTAAAAATAAAAACATCCTTGATAATATATTGTTGTACCCTTAAAGAGGTTACAAACAAACAAAGACAAAGACTCGAGTGAAGGAACACCAACACGCGCGTATATGAAAGAAGAGAGCATTATTGTAAAAGAGAATACACTACTGAAAGAGAGGGAATCGGGTGGCAGGTTAGTAATTCCCTAAGCAAGCACCTAGTAATTCCCTAAGCAATCTCCTGTGCTCACTAAATATAGCTACTGATATAGTCAGTCCACATAGGCGATAGGGACTGTGGGACATTCCATTACAACACACACACACACATATATATATATATATATGTGTGTGTGTGTGTGTGTGTGTGTGTGTGTGTGTGTGTATGGTGATGCTGAAATGTTCACAGCTTGATACACTACCAAAGACCTTAATAAATGGTGAAACATTAGGATGTTATTTTGAAAGGGTTTTGATTAGACCGGTAACATTTCAGCCTACCCTCGTTTGTGTGTGCTTGAGTGTCTGCGCGAAAATTTCACAATCACGTCTTCAGATGAATAGATGGAATCTCTGTGAAACTTTCGACAGGCACAAGATAAGTGAACGTTTAATTTATTTATTAATATTAATTCACTATCTCTTGATATCGAGCACTTCGAATACAAAGATGGCGTGTCTTAAAAATATCATCAGAAATACCCTGCTTGTCCGTTTAATTCATTCATTTATTTATTTATTTACTTATTTATTGTTATCTGACGGAATACAATGTCACGGGGAAAGGAAGAAACTGGATATTGACAATAGATTTGATAATTTGAATTTCTGAACTTTTTTTTATTTATTACTAGCCGAATTACATGCGCCTTGCTGTGTGTCGCACATTTTTTAGTAAGAAAACGATGGTTGATTTTAAATCAATTATAATTTGTGGAGAAAATGATGCATTTCAATATTACTTAATGATCTTGCTGATGTGACCTCCATCTTCTGGCTTTCTCCTTCTATATTTTGGATAGGAGTCATTCCATTGTTCAAATTTAAGTTTAACTCAAATCAAAGGAAAAAATTTCTGTGAGGGTGCATAAACAGCTTAAACTGATCCATTGATATTCATTTGATGCAATACTTGATTGAATGAATTGATTAGCAGATTTCAACATTGATATAACAGTTGAATTGTTGCAACTTATATGTATTGTAAGGAAATATTCACTGGTTTCTTGCTCGACTTGACGTCCATATTGTCTCATTTTGACTGTCTTTCCGATGTAACCTCCATCTTCTTCTTTTATATTTTGGATAGGAGTCATTTCCCTATTCAAATTTAAATTTAATTTATATCAAAGAGAAAAAATTCAGTGGTGGGAGTTTGTGACCTCCGGGGACCCCCTTTGATCAAAATAGAATATACTTATCCAAGGACTGTAAGCGTCACTCCTTTGTTGAAATTTAAATTTAATTTATATAAAAGGTAAAAAATTCAGTGGGGGCGGTGTGCCCCACCCCAGGGACCCCTTTGATCAAAATGAAATATATTTATCCAAGTATCCTGGGTAATGTAGCTTCAGAATATATA